AAAAATGTTTGTGACTGGCTTAATGCTGATAAGCTAACCATTAACGCGAAGAAATCATAGTTTTCGTTTTCAGGCCAGCACAGAAAAGAATAAATCATCAGCTATGTATCAAAATTCCGGATAATAACAACAATTGAATCACACTTCTTGAATGCAAAGATTGTGTAAAATTTTTGGGTGTACTAATTGACAAGAACTTAAGCTGGAGGCCTCATATTGATCATATTGCTTCGAAGATTAGTAAATTAGTAGGCATAATTGTGAGGCTTAGACATCATGTACCTTTACAAATTTACCGTTCGCTGATTTTTCCCTACACGCTCTACGGTATAGCTGCTTGGGGTCAGGCAGCTCAGAGTGATTTAAAAAAGATTCTCACCTTACAAAAGCGTGCACTCCGTCTGATTTTCTTTTCCAGCAAAACATCTCATGCTATCCCTTTTTTATAACTTCGAGTATCCTACCTATTAGTATGCTTTATTTTGAAACCGTTTCCGCCATAAGGCATGATGTTTCTACTAGCTCTACACCAAGGAATATTCGTGAACTTTTTATTAATTCATCTGAAGTCCATACATATAATATGCGTTTTTCTTCCACAGAGAATTTTTATGTACAGAAATCTAGATTACATGTGAAATTTAAGTCTTTCTCTACGTTTGGTACGAGGTTATGGAACTGTCTAAACCCTGGCTTGGTAAACTCACGAAAATACTTGGGATTGAGGACTAGTATATTGACGCCCATTCACTAATATTGAAATTCAATACCAATGATTATCGAATATTATAACTGTTGTACTTCGCTCACATCCGGCGTATGTCACAATTCTCTCCTCTCTACTTTCCAGTCTGCTCTACCTGTATTTGATTATCATGTCTTGTTTAACTTACTAGTAATTTTATTGTATTTAATTGTATGACAACTGTACGTATCTTTTAGCTTACAGTGTAGTAAACTAATGCATAGCTTAGAACTGTAGTAATATCGTAGTAGTAATGAAATCTCTTCAGCTTACTGACAATGTGTAGTATTTTCTTATTTATTACTAATACCCGCCAAGATTAGCTAATGCTATATGCGGGTTGTGTAAATTGGCTTTTAATGTTCCATGAAATAATAATAAAAACAGCAAAAAGCTTACACAGCCCACGGCAAAGATAAAAGAGCCTTACGTTTTTGACATTTGCCTTTAGGCCTCTCATATTTAGCTTCTGCTGAAAGATACATAAGAAAAGAAGTATCAGTTTTCAATTTTTCTGCTCATACCCTCGCTCTACCTCAATTCATTATTAGAATGGGAACGCTGCTTTAGAAAATATCTACTTTTATTATCCAACTGTACTTCGTAGAGTTCAAATAACGCGCGAGACGAGTGCAAATATCTCGCGATATTTGTACTCTGCTGTTTGCAGGTCTTTTTTTTGTTTTGTTTTGTTTTGTTTTGTTTTTTTTGCGTATTATATATATGGACTTCAGATGAATTGATAAAAAGTTCACGAATATTCCTTGGCGTAGAGCTAGTAGAAACATCATGCATTATGGCAGAAACGGTTTCAAAATAGAGCATACTAATAGGTAGGATACTCGAAGTTATAAAAAGAGGGATAGCATGAGATATTTTGCTGGAAAAGAAAATCAGACGGAGTACACGCTTTTGTAAGGTGAGAATCTTCTTTAAATCACTCTGAGCTGCCTGACCCCAAGCAGCTATACCGTAGAGCGTGTGGGGAAAAATCAGCGAACGGTAAATTTGAAGAAGGGTATTTAAAGATACATGATGTCTAAGCCTAACAATTATGCCTACTATTTTACTAATCTTCGAAGCAATTTGATCAATATGAGGCTTCCAGGTTAAGTTCTTGTCAATTAGTACACCCAAAAATTTTCTTTGAAATTTCTTTGATCCTCTGATTTTATAGCAATATATTTTTCTAAATATTATATTCTGTCTCGAGCCAAACGGTTATATATTCACCTAACTTATCCTTATTTTTATTCTTGGCGCCGCCAAATAAAAAGAGTTTTCCCATGATAATGATAATTTTTTTTCCAACATCATCTTCGTGCTAGCAATTTTTTTTTCCATTTTTTTTTGTGCTAAATATTACCATTGGCTCATTGAACTACTTTACGAAGAACGTAATCAATAGTGCTATAGCCACTTGTTTTGTCAATATACGCTCCACTCACCTTTTAAAATTTTTCATACGACAGGAAATAGTGCCCAAATTGTGTTAAATTTTATACTAATGCTTCAATTTGTTACTTAATTTTTTGTTTTAGTTTTGGAAATAATATTTTTTAATATCTTACCTGACTTCTCTGCAAACATTCTTTTTTACCCTATCATGTTTGCAAACAATTTATTTCGTCTTTTCAGACCCTGCAAACAATTTTTTTCAATATTTATCAAACAAGCCTCCAGAAAAATAATGGTCCGTCCCTAAGGCCTTCCTCTTACACGGCGTAACTCGATGTACAAGTTTTCTTCACCGCATAAAGTGATTTCAGGAGCGGCTGCTGTGTTCACAACTACCCCGTATAAATAGCAAAATAGTTAGTTTAAGTCAATTTATGCTTGGCACTCCATACTTCGTAACGTTGAATTAAATTGCGTGCATCCACTGCATGTCTAGTTATAAAATAGAATCCAGAGTGACAGAGGCAGTGGAATGCTTTGAAACGGTGGGCTCATCACTCTCCCTATACTAATCCAAGTGCATACCCTTACCCTATTGGCCAAAAAATTTTTCTTAACCAGGCGCGTAGCGTCCTATACGCATATACGCACGTGCGTACCTGAAGTGAGCAGAAAATTTTGAAAACAATGTTGTGTTTGCGCCAAGTTTCCGCAAAATAAGGGCTTCTTTGCTTGTATTCACACAACTATTTCGAACAAGAAATAAAGAACGCAGTATTTTTCGCTCAGTTTACTTAGGTTTCTAGATCATATGTACTTGTGCGTACTTTAAAAAATGACCACGCTACGCGCCTGTTAACGTTTGCTTTTTGAACACAGACTGGAAATGTTCAAATGAAAGGAGTCCCTCCACATACACTTTTGCCACGATCCTCGCAGTAAAGAGCGCTATTTACTGCGAGGATCGTGCATCATACGTATCTATAACTCCTGCTCCCAGTTGGCTTGTTAGCTCAATTGGTAGAGCGCTGCACTAGTATCGCAGAGGTCAGTGGTTCGAATCCCGTACAGGCCTGATATTTTTCAGGTCTGATTTTCGCTATTGCATAAATAGCGCTCTTTACTGCGAGGATCGTGCATCATACGTATCTATAACAGCAGTTCAAAATATATAAAATCCATATATTCATCGTATTCCATGGAGTGTTTGTTAAAATTTCTTTACTTATCTTATTCAGTGGAAGAATTCATTGTTTCTTTTCAAAAAGGCGAGAACAGTGAGAATTCAATCTTGTTAATGTTGTTATTCTTATAAATGATACTATGTTGCTTGGATTTGTAAAACAGTCTCGTAGCCATTGATGGAACTTACATTTTGAAGTCTGTAACATTCCTTGTTTATTTTGATGGAGGCAAAGGACACTTGTATATGATCTTGCTGCGGAGGTCAACTTTTTCCTGGAAAAACGAACAAAAAGTTTATGGAAAAGACTGAGTCGAAAATTCATAAATATTATTTGAGGGTCTCAATAGGGGGGAAGGGTCAAGTTGACAGTTGACGTTGGAAATAAGCCCTTTTGACGGTTGACGGTCAATAGTTGGAATGTAGTTTATAAAACAAACTAAACGCGCGAATTTGGTTGTAATTATACATAACGACGCGTTTGTGAAGAACTGTTAATTCATAACACCTTTTATTAATAAATGACTAACGTTTTACGACACCAAAAGTGTTTCCACACCGGAAGTCAGTTTTGTCGCTCACCAGCTTTACTCGCGAATAGAAGTTGAAGGACTTACAGAAATGGATTTTTTTGTTATTTATCAAAAATTTTGTTTAGAAACAAAAGAACTTGACCCCAAATAAGGCAATCGTTTAGTTCTTAATTAAGGATATCTGAGACATTTAACGGCTAACATCAGCTTGCTTATTTGACGGTAAAAATATTGCGTTTTTGACGGTTGA